TGATAGTAACAATTCCATAATGTTCTTTCTGACCAGCTCTTTGTATGTCATCTTTTCAGGAACTTGAAGTTATATTAGAAATATTTATTACATAATAATGCATATTGTGGTTTTCATTAATTTGTGAAACAGCAGTGACTGCCTTACTAGCACTAGGTATACCCACTGTTCCCCGTTCAGCTCAACTGGAAGACAAAGATATTGTATTATCCCTTGGCACCTCTTCCCTAGATGCCGTTATCATGCGGTTTGCCAGACCCCTTACGACTTGCTGCAGAATGTTGGATACCCGTATCTACCGCATTATCTGAGTTGTCTTCCTGATAACAAAAATGGAAAAACAGTCTACACTCAAAATCTCACCTGCATGAATAATAAATCCTGTAAAAATGGTCATTAAACGTAAGGGGCACCGTTTATATATCACTAGCTGAACATCCGTTTTTTAAATGTTAAAAGGGATGACAGATAATAAACAATGGTCATATGGTGAACTGTAATCACAACTGTAAACACTTTTCTTACAACAAGTATATGTTTTTATCTGTGAATCAACATCATCCCGCCACCCTTTGTTTCGTCTGTATTCGTAAGATTTTCATATATTATTTCGTAGAAAGTGATCTGCAATCGAAACGAGTTAAATTTTACTTGAGATAAGTATCCTTTTTCATCTGTGGGGTTTCAGTTTTCCCCTCACCCTTTAGTTTGTTTTAATGTGGCGCCAGTTGTTTGCAGTAGGCACTTTACCAACTCCTTAAATTGCCCGGAGAAGAAACAATGAGTTAGAAGTCAGTAACACGAACATAAGAAATAGTAGGAATCGAAGTTAATGAGACGAGTGAAATGTTATCCCTAAATTACGCTTTTCTGAAATACTAATTTTATGCATTATGTGTCTCCTAATTATTTCATTTTTGTCTTCCTCATTGCAGGTTAGCAGTCGTCGTAGACATTCCACTAGATGTCGTCATACATAGTGTCTGCAAGCAGTTTTTCAATACATCCACCTCCCACAAAGTTGTTGGTATGATGCCTTGAGATTATTCACTTCGGTCCATAGTACAATTAGTACGCTTATGGTGAGAGCTGGCTGCTAGACAAATTGGTAGACAGTCAGTGTTTGCGTCCCCAATATTGGTCGTGAGAAAAATAAGAACAAAGACTGATTCAAAAACCAGCCACAACAGACTTTGCGTAGGGGGATACAATTTGTAGACAGATGATCTGACATTCAAGAAACAGCCATAGAGAGATGTAAGACTAACTTTCAGTGAGAAACAACCAATCAAAAGACTTTGTTTTTCTGCTCAAAATAATCTATGATAATGTACATGAAAATCTATAAATATAAATGATCTGTCGCCTGGCCCTTGTCTTCTGTTGTTACACGCTTATATTATTGATGTAATGACATGCAAGACTTTTGCATGTTGCTGTGATGTTTGCCTGTAATAACATTCCCTACATAGTAAATACAATGCTCGTGATAACATTTCGTCATCTTTTCATCGCGCTGATATGTACGTATATACTAAGAAAAAGCTAACCTCGTCGTATTAGTTTTCTAAAATACGTTCACAAAGTGCCGATGTTTCTGCCTAGTACGAAGTACTACTCGTGGTCTACTTTTTACTACACTCAAATAACTATCAGCCTATTATCGTATGGAGTAGTTAAATCTAAGGCTCATGAAATTTAGGTGTTAATGTGTGTTTGCAGTTACTGACACAATATGTATGTCCATTTTTCATTTGCAAACAAGAAAATTCTTAAAGTAATGCAGAAATGAGCTCAGTGGGTTAGTAGTGTATTTCACTGCTGTATAAGTGAAATGCTTCTATTCACTTGTCGGCGGAGGTTGCTCCACTGAAATTTCACAGGGCACAGTACTTGGTATTGACGGATCCTGTCAGAAGCATCTGCGACACAGCCGAATTACTTTTTCGACTAAAAGCGGCAATACTGATATTATTAAAAGTATGATCTACCTGTAAACTGAGGAATTCTAGTGTAACAGCACCACATCCTGGCAGGGTATTTGTGTTATAAAGTTTCTGCAGGTACAAGTAGGATTCATCAACTGAGCACTGAAATATGGACAAAAGGCTGGCGAAATGCGACACCTTACAGAGACGCACCTATAGAGATTTAGGCATGTGTTACTCCACGTGACATCTGGGCCATATAAAGGGGGCATTTTTTCAACTGACCTGTGGCGGACCTTAGACTCTGCTAGCTTAATATCCCAAATTCGAATAGAAATAAAAAAATACCATATCCGTAAAGTTACTGAAAGAATATATTAAAATTTGTTACTTGGGGCTATTACAAGGTCCAAATCCACAATCAATTTAGTAGACTCCAGAATTATTGTGCGAGGACTGCTTTAATTTTAATTCTCCAATATCAATATTGCCAGAGGTCATCCAAGGTAACGTAGGGAGAAAATACGAAGTTCCTGCGAAATTTTGAAATAGAAGGTAGGCAATTAGAATTGGTCGATGGCAGTTGAGATGGTGGAGAACACGGAGAGATGTAGGCAGAGATATATTTTTCCTTCAAACCATGAGATTAAGTACAAAAGTACAGAAATTCTGGTTGAAACAAAGTAATGTACAATATGTTCATTTCTCACATAGTAGTAAATGTTGGATAAGTTTATTTTTGAGGACTCCACAGACCCTCTGTTGTACGCTCATTTGTTGTTCATATATATATGTAATAACTTTCTAGTTTGACTATAATTACGGAATGTACGTAATTGCAAGGAACACTTCAAATGAATTTTCTCAAAACCAGTGGTGTTCCTTCGCTAGTGTTAACTAGTGTCATATTGGTTGATATGATTAAAGGAATATATTATCTCTTTGCATAATACAGCAGCAATAATTGAACAGGGCATTTACAATGATATTGTTGTTAAATGAGAATACACATGAAAATTAAAATTTAGGTGAAAATATTAATAAAAATCTAATAATGAAAAAGAAATAAGAAAGGGCCTTTCAAAGCCACACCATGAATAACAGTCTGAAGATACGGACTCTGATTCTCCGACTACGAAAGTCCGAAACAAGACTAAATTGTTCCAAATGGATTTATGTTGAATACAAAAAAGTTGAAGGAGTACAAGATATATTGTTCTATGTAAGTAACAAAGTGCATCAGGCAGACATGGTACAAGCCTTCAAATACGACGTTGTCCAGCATTCAAATACCAAGAGCACAATAAGCTGGGCACAACGGTTCTCAGCTAACCAAAATGTTTGTGTACAAAATCTCAATGAACCACAAGTGGTTTAATTAACACAAAATGCGAAATGGTATAGAAAATACAATTTTAGTGTTTGAAGGTGCAATACTAGACGTAGTAGGACAGTTTACTTAGTACTTCTCAGTTGGTCAGTAGTATTTTGCCTTACACTTTTTTTATCATATAAAGTGTGTGCCAAATAAGGCATTGTATAGTTTATACACTTAGTCGTCTGGGCATAAAGTCTTCTATGGTTGCTTCTAGTTCTACCTGATGAGATGGGAGGAAAAAATGCTCAGGGTTCGGCAAGATAACATTGCGGTAAAAGGCACCAGAAATTGCTCAGTCAAAAACCACCTTATCATATTGATTGAGAAATTTCAAGATAATATTCGCCAATTTCTTGAGTCAGTCCATGTGTCTGTCTACAACTGCTCTAGCAACGGCCCACTCGTACTACTGGCGACTTCCGGTGCTCTTCGCAGAGAAACAAAGTCTTTTTAAGTAGCCCAGGGAATATTAAGGGGGATCGAAGAAAAAGAGTAGGTAGAATAGAAGAATTGACAAACTGTAAAAGTAGAGACAGAATGATGTCAGATTGCCTTAACTTCCTTGAGTATAGCTTTAAACGATATGTCTTCCTATAAACTAACATGATGTTGGAAGACCAACACAACCCTAACATTCGACTTAGTTTCAAATTCAATGCCGCCCACGATATTAGAGTCGAGCGGACACACCAGCATTAATTTTTAACCAAATATGTTACTTCTCAAACCACGAAATTCGGCTGTGCAAGCTCCATCTTACCTGACCAGTGGAGCAGACAAGAGCAATGCTAACAAACCCGCATTCAGGGGTACACTGTTTTGTTAGATGTTGAAATTAAAAACATTGTACATAATTTTTGTTTAAAGCAATTTATGTTGGAATACAGATAACTTCCGAGCACAATCTGAAATACAGTCTACTGCTGGCCGTTTCGTTTTCTCATTAGTCTATACTGTCCACTTGCTTCACTCATAACCGTGTTGTATACTTTGGATCTTTACAGGAACCTCATCCTCACCCGAAGACTATTCTGTAACCGGTACCAGTATACACGACTCAAGCAGTGAACGCTTGTAGATTATATTAGTAATTTGTATCCGATTAATTTATGTAACTAATCACTGTATTTTTTATAATATGCCGTGACAATATCATCTCATTAACTTGGATTTTTATTCAAATACTTGTTCTATTACTGAGCTCGCTAGAAAGTCCCCTACATGTATATTTTCTATGGTTTGTTAAATATCATATACAAATATACTAGTTCTTTTCCATAACATTTCTGTAGTGTCTTGAACATCGTTATTCAGTTGCTAAAAGTTAATGCATATTAGTAGGTAATGACAATCTGATGGATGTTCATTCATTAGTTTTGAAACTGTATTTCTGAGGGGCATGTGCAGAATTACTACTCAAATTAAGATTAAATTTTAGATAATTACTCTAGATTAATAATATCTTCTGATACAATGGAACTTATGCAAAATATTTCTTACCAGTTGACACAACATAATACCATATAAATTTATATACACCATGAAGGAATTCAGATTATTATCTCATTTACAGAAAACTAATGTTCATTGAAAATTTTGCTGAATCACTACTTTGCTTAATATAATAATGGCATAAAGAAAGAAAGAGCTGGAACGACGAAACTAATCGCTCATTCAGATCACTTGGTAATTTTTTAATCAATGTATTCTTTGTCACGACCATCACGACTGTCTTGTTCAAGTGTTTTCAAAGCTTCTTCAAATGTACTGCTGCATGGTACAGCCAAATCACATGTCCTTAGAGGAGATACGCACTTATCAGATTCACTCGGTTCGATTATGATATCATCAAGAAGAGATGAGGGTGAACGGCTGTGCTGTGACGAAGTTTTCATATGACCTTCAGCTAGACTGAACGATACAGAATGATGTCGTGGAGAAACAGGGACTTCTGGTATAGACTCAGGTATATTAAATGTATACGGTAGAGATCCTCTAGAACCTTTGAATAAATATGGTCCAAGATAACTGGATTTATTATTGAGGGGATGAGATTTTTTATTGAACAGCATCTGAGATACAAAATTAGGTGTATTGTTTAGATACACGGAACTATCTGATGTCATTTTAGTTTTATCTGTTGTTTGTGAAACTAAAACCAAAGGCTTCTGAGTGGATATATGTTTTAGATTCCATTTGTTTCTGGTCATAATTTGATTTAGACTTTAACAAAATTTTAACTTCGTTAACTTTTTAAAATACTTTCATCCAAATAGAATTTCGCTGCTATTTACTCATGACTTCAACAACTGCACTGATATTTTGTATTAATAATTATTTCGGGGAAGCTTTCTACTGAACATACAGTAAGTGAATCGATGCTTTCATTTGTAGTTAGCTTACCAGACGTTTTTAAAGTTCATATACACACATACAATGAATACTTTCAATTGTTTTATCTGTACAATAGTATCCAAGGTCACTTTATTTTATTGTTTCTCTCAAATGGGAATATGATTGGTTGAAATCTAGTTTTGTCTGTGTATTGATTGTGAAATAGCGCAAAGATAACCTGTGCGAGTGTACTATAATTGCTTCATCAACCTAAAATATATATAGAGCCTAAGTGAATAGAAATTTCTCAAACACCTGGAAGATATATATATATATCCTGCTGATAATTCTTATCATTAGCACACACCACAATATTATCTAAAGTCTGAATGTTTGAAGTCTATGAACGCTGCAGATAACAGAGTAAAGTAAAGTAAATATAATACACTGAAAGGTAATGGAAATCTTGATCGAAATAAGAACTATGTTTAATAATTTTCAAAAACAACCAATGGAATTTATATAGAGATCATAGCATTAGTGGATCTATGTCTATTTTTGTCTCTTCTGAATGATAATTGTCACAGTGACCTAAACGATAACGCTAGACACAGTTAGATCATTGTTCGACAATGCAGTATCCTAGCAGGTTACCGACTGAAATTCATATTAAACTGAAGTCAAATGTTATTCACAAATGTGCCACTATGCTGTTTTCCATGTATTTCCCTTTGTCCTTTCGTTTTCACTTGTATATATCCAAAAAGTAAACTATAACTGTCTAATTTCCTTATCTTCTTTTAAAAATCTTGAAAAACGAGGCATGCAGTATAGTCTTGTGAGATTAGTCATTAATACCGTGAACTTCAACGACATTTAATACATGAATGTAGAAATATTGGTCACCGTACATAATAATACATAAAAGACAGACATTTCGCCATCCCCTTGTATATCAAAGCGCGGGCAGGTGGTGATTGCTCTTCAGGGATATGATGGTGGAGACATGTGAGAACCACCTTTATCTGTGGGATAGCATCCTTCTGCTGAGTTTTCTGAGTGTGAATTACCTCCATATAAAATATGATAAAAACTATTTGAAATTCAGCATTTAAATATAAACTCCTCTAATGCAAGGACATGGTATGAGTTCGCTACTTCAGAAAGACATCTTACCGTATGTGTCAAGACAGCAGTATAGATATTATTAAACTTCCGCCTTTCTTCTGCAGGGCATCTATAACACCATGTGCTATGGCTACTTAGATGTAGTAAGTAATTGAGGAATTCAGAAGGATAGGACGAATAACCAAGTAGCTGCTATACCTTCTCCTATCGGACGATGAATGCTCCTCCGTTTGTCTGCCTAGATATTACTCGCTTCACTGACCCTCTGCTGAGCTTTCTAAAATGAAGATTCATAAACACCGCTAGTCTCCTACAATAATACGACACGTCAGTCAGCAATGTGAGTAATTATTTTGATAGAAAACACGATTCTAAACTTCTACTTTTTCCCTGCACTCCGATGTCTGGGTTTAACTTCTTTTCTTAGATTATCTCAAATAGGTAGGGATTACCATCCCTCCATTGCTACTGTACATTTTAAATAATTGTTTGTTCAAAACATTTCCACAACTGTAACTTTTGGATAAAAATGAACCCTGTGATTATCATATATTTTTTTTGTATTTTAGGATATTAAACTTTGTTGGCTACTTCAGCATTTCTCTTTCGTTTTTCTTTTATCTTAACTTTTTACAGGTACTCCTCTGAGTCATGGCATTGATACAGTGATACTATCCTCTACTTTATTATGACTCGAACGCGTTGAAATCAGCATAACCTACACTTTCCAGATATTTAGAATACTGTTGGCACATTTAACGAAGATTGGAACAACCTCAATCACGAAATGTTAGTCAACCAAAAGCTGGTCCCATATAGCTGCCAGAGTCAAAATAATGCTGTACTTACCAGAATATTCAAAGGCTTTGTACCACATAAACCAATAACTCTTGTAAATTCTGAGGCCTTTGTGATTCAGCACCACTTTAGCACCAATTATATCAAAGTGCTTCCTATCTTCTAATAACTAAAAATATTACGAATCTCGAATGAGATTGACAAGCGATATGTATACTTTAGTTTAAAATTTTGATCCAACACGTTACCTCGTAACTTACTCAATCAAAATCCAATTTCATCAATTAGTTCTTTAGTTATTTGTACTCTTTTCAATATATTTGTACTAAGAATTCATATCATAATTCCCGTCAATCACTTATAATGCAAACATGTTCAAGAGTGTAGGAATGGCTTGTTTATATCTAAGAAATAAAAATTATTATTATTATTATTATGCTCAAAGTGTGTAACGCAGGCTAACTAAGCAATTACAATAACTGAGTTGTAGGCTTCTATAAACATGGTCAAATCTGAGTAGTAATTAGTATAAAGAGAATATGGTTAATACATGATTTCCCATTCTGGCTGATTTCCTTCTAAGTAAGCTAGAAAATGCACCTCTAAACAACCTTATCAGAAAGTTCTCATTTTATTGCCGGTATTTGGATGATACCTTTATTCTTTGTGATAATGGTTCTGATAGGAGTACAATAATTACTTAATTCAATGAAGTACATTTGGCTATGAAATTCACATGTGAAGAGGAATCCCAAGACAGAATCGCCTTCCTGGATGTCCTACTTACAAGAAAACCAGATGGTAGCATAAAAAGAAATTTGCATAGAAAAAAGCACTTGAGTAGGAACAATATACACATTTTCAAAGCTTCGTTTGTATCAAGTAGAAAAAAAATTTATTGAAGATCCTCAGCCACAGAGATAGAGCTATATGCTCAGAAGAAGTAATTGAAGATGAATTAGGCATTGTATATGATACTTTGATCGAAAATGGCTATCCCGACAAATTTATCAAGAAACACATGACAAAGAAAACGGAAAAGGATTACTCACTATCTGTAAATAAGAAGCCTCTTTTTGTACGACTACAATTCATGGAGGATATACCAAGTGAGATAATTGCGAAGAAATTAAGAAAATCAGTTCAAAGAACTTTTAATGCTGGCGAACTACACGTATTATTCTCTACACGACCGATGGTGATTCCTCGACTGAAAGATGAAGTACCTAGACTAGCCACTTCAAATTGTATCTATCACTTCAACTGCGCTTGTGGAGCCAGTCATATTGCCCGTTGCTCTAGGAACTTGATTTTTCGTGCTCGAGAACATCTCCAAGCATGGCTAAGTAAAGATGTAATGAAAACCATTAACAGCTCGATATTGGACCATCTGGTGCAAACCGGCCACAAAGCCAGCGTAGAATCCTTCTCTATAATATACCGGGTGCCTAATAAATTGCCGGAATCATCGAAGTACCGCATGCTCAAAACAGCAGAGGCTATTGAGATTTGCCTCAAACAACCAGCGCTCTGTGTTCAAAAGAAGCAAGTCCAGCCCCTACTACTGCCCTGGCTTTCAGTAGAAACTATAAACTAATGAATTTGTAATATTATCTTTTCTAATTCTTCCGACATTCAGCTTATTTTATGTTGATGCGATTCAGCTGTAATCTATTAATATTATTGATTTGATGTTATTTAAACATTAATGTCGTTTATAACACTAACTCATTCATTCACTATAATGTATATATAAATATAGAGCCTAATGATGAATTCATCGAAAAGAGTACTCTTTGTTCAGTATCCAATTGTTTTGAAAATTTTAATGGGCATTTTTAATCAGCTAATAGCCTTATCAAAGTACATATATACTATTATTATAATAGTATCATATATAATATTATATACTACATACATATATAACATAATTAACATAGTAAATTGCAATGACTATGAAGTCAACTACATAGGTCAAAATAGTAGGTTGGGGAAGTCAGATTGTCGGGACATAAGAATCTAGCTAAGGTAAAAATGTTCGACCCCGAGAAGATAAGTAATTTAGGAAAAAGCTCAGCAATTGCACTGCACGCATTAACACACAACCACACAAAAGGGTGGGAGAAGTTAGAGGTAGGTGGAGAGAGAGGTTGATTACCGGATTCCTGTTCATCGAGTCGACACCCAACACGTGCAATGAGAATGATTCATAACTCATACCGGAAATATGGAAAATACTACTACCAATCAAATCAAGCGTTGACACGTAGTGGAATTGTATAAACGAAGTTCGAAAGTTGTGTGAGTACCTTGGTATGATTTTGAGCAATGAATTGTGCTCGAAACGTCATCAGTAGATATTACTGTATAACACTGTGAGACTTAATCAAATTAAATTTTACCCACAATGAAAGTAAGCTCTACCGCAGTGCACAAGTTCTTTACTTGCACTTATGATGTACTTTAGTGTCTGCTTGCAAATCGTTGATTTCCCAACGTGCTCTTGTCAAGTAGTGACCTGCATCCTCCGACTAAAGTTCAAACACTAATATTTCAAACAAATAAATTACATTTCTTAGGTTCAAGATCAACCGACTGCACGTTGTTGACGTAAGGCTCAGTGGAGTCATCCGTACCTACTCAGCGGATTCACTATCTGTGCAGTGAGCACGTAACTCCGATAATAAACTTCCATGATTCGTAATTTCATATCACGATGCTACCCTTGATTCCAGCAGCCATTTTCACAAGTACTTAGTAGGATTATGTGCAGTATGTCTCTTGACCCCTGGTTTGTCACATTCAAGTATAAGTTAACTCAAGAATAACACAATGACGAGAAGTAATCTTTCTAAGTCGGAGTTTT